GTGTGTGTGTTGGTGTGTGTGTGTGTGTGTGTGTGTGTGTGTGTGTGTGTGTGTGTGAAGCGTCCTGGAGCACGGACGGAAATTCCACATTGCAGGGGGACTGGAGCCGATTTGCCTATCCAGTCCAATGAAGCTACGGCATTTCGGTGGATACCGGATCTGATCAATCCGGCGTACCTGCCTATTTCCTGACCCTCTTTCCTGATTCTTTTTGCGGTTTCTGTTTGTCGCTGTTGCTTCCTGTTCGGTGTCGATGTTGTGACCTGTTGATTTGCATTTGCATTCAAGCATTTTTACTGACTGCGTTTTGCATCTCGGCTAGTGAAGCCTCTCGAGATAAGTGTGTTTACCCACGGCCTGTCCGACATGGCGCTGTGGGCTGGACTCGCCATATGCGGGAGCCCCCTGCGAGGGGAAGACCGTTCAAGTGTTCAAGTTCAAGCTGCAGTTCAGTTCAGCGCGTTTGACCACGATCAAGGCTGCAGCTTGAGGTCTTAAGGTATTCCGCACCCAAATGGTGCTCTGCTGGTTTCATGCGCCTGCACTGCCTGCACTGCCTGCCTTTGAAGCAAGGCTGCACCCACGAGGTTTCAGGCTCCTAAGCTTCATGCGCCAGTGACGAGTTGGTCATACACCAACTCTGCGATTCGTGGCGTTTATGGAAGCTTTCGTCTCGGATGAGTTCAGTTCAGATTCATCGGCATAGCCACATGAGGCACTTTCATGAGGCCACTTGACAGGCACCTCTGAGAACCCCTTTGTGCTCGCATGCATTTCTGTGGAAACTTTTGCCGTTGCCGCGGGGTTTTGGCGGTCCCCTGGTGGAATTCCCTCTGTTTGGTTTCGATTCGCAGGTTGAAGTTGGCTCGCATGCATTTGCACCATTGACGCATTTTTGCCGCAGTTGTGGTTTTGTTTTCACCCCTTTCCAACCTTCTCTCTCCCTTGCGAGATGGCTGGACACCAGCTCTATGACATGATGCATTCGCTCCTGCATAGCATTGCGACCGGCACCGCGTCCGGCTCACCAGGCAATTGTGGACCGAACTTGCAGCTGTCATCCCAGATGACGCAGCCCATGAACCTTGTACCGTCACCCAACTCGCAGACGGCATCCTTCACACCTTTCCCCATGATGCCCTACGGCGGCCTCTCGAACTTTGGCAACCCGATGGCCATGATGCCCTACGGTGGCCCTCCCAATTACGGCAACTTGGCACCTGGCACCATCATGCCTTTCATGACTCAGAGCAGCATGCCATCTTCACCGCCCGAGCCTCAGCCGGCGCGCGCACCCGAAGCTGCCGCTGCGGCTCCTGCCGCTACCTCCTCAACCATTCCGACACCAAAGTCCAGCGATGGATCACCTCTCAGAAAACCAGCAAAGAGAGCAGGCAAGTCCTAAAAAGCTGGTCCAACGACTGCGCAAAATGGGCAACCGCACTGGACTCCGGCACCGGAGCCCAACTCGAACGAGCCGCTGTGCTATGGGGCATCCCGGTGCGAACCCTATCAAAACTGGGGTCATCGGCCTTGGGCCGCATCCTGGCCGCTGCGAGTCACTTCTACCAGTGACTCTCAACAGCACACCGACAACGACGCACAGCCAGGCAGCACAAATTTTGGCAACACCACTGCTGCCAATTTCTCACTGTCCTCCGTTTCACTCTTCGGTTCTTCCCAACCGATGACGTCACCGCACGTCATTTTGCTCCTGGCTACTCGCACAGCTTCAGCTACTTGACGTCTGCCATCTCTCCTGTGGTTCCGGCAGACTGAAAGCCCTGCTTACTCGACTTGGCCTGGACAACCCTGCTTCCGATTTCTCTTCTCAGCTTGTCCCTTCAGCGGTTTATCTGAGATTCACCAGCCATCCAAAGTGGCAGGCCTTTTTCTACCTCGGAGCCACTCGCGCCTCCCTCATGGCACGGGGCCGCAGCCAACTTCGCAAACTACTCCAAGTTCAGCGACATCATCTGGTCAATGCCGAACTGGCAGTCCGGTGGTGGGCACATTTCGACTTTTTCCACCACTACACCTCGGTGCCCATTCACACTGTCGTTCCGGCAACGGACCTATTTGCCACTGAACAGTTCTACATCCAGGAACTGCAACCGTCTCTCAATTTTGGCTTCATCGAGAAACATTTCCGGCCACGCACGGGCTTCATACGCCAATTGGACTTCTCCCAATCCCGGCACATGGGCTTCGCCACCATCTGGCGAAAACGCCGCCGACTACGACTACCCATCGCCCTACAACAGGCCTTCCTGGCCAAACGCGTGGACAACCGCCTGGATTTGTGGCGATTTTTGGGCGATCTTGGCAGCAACACTCTACGACGATTTGATGCCATCCGTTACATACGGACCAGAGACTTCCCACCCGCCGCTCTCTATGTCCTTCATCGCATAGCCACACACCTGCCTGAACCACACCACCAGGCATGCCTTTCCGCCATTCGATCCAGTTTACAATTCCGGGGCCTCATTCCACCTGGCCCCTCGAGACCGATGCTTGCACCCTTCCTCGCCTGGCGACTACTGCTAACCTGGTACCGACAACGACAACCACACTCCTCTACCACACACCTCACAGTGGACACACTTGACACCTCTGCCATCACCCGCGTCTACAACGGACGCCGTCGCCGACACAAACCCACACAACGCACCCTGTGGCTCGACGACATCCCCGAGATCATTCAGGCCACCCTTGACATGCAGATCTTCTCTGTCGGCCTTCGTTCATTCAGGCAAACACGTGGGGCACCGATGGGATCCCCCGCGTCCCCAGCTCTCTGTTTGATGGTGATCGCGGTCGCCGAACAATGTTGGACCAACACTCACATCACATCGGGACTTCGCTCCGTTGAAGATACTCTCCTACTCCGCTACGTGGACAACAGACTCGTGATCGCAACCCCCAGGTGGCTCTCGACTCCGGCAGCCAACATACTGTGCGACGAACACTTCTATGGAGGAGACATCTTCCTGGACACAGAAGCCGCCCTGGACTTCTTGGGGTTCCGACTGAACCTCACAAGCAGCACCATCTCCTTCATCCCCTCGCATGAGAAGCACAACATGCTCTCCGTCAAGTCAGCCGCACCACTGATGCATAAGGAATCTGGATGTTATTCCGGACGCACGCTGATCAACCGAGTTTCCTTTCCTGAGTTTCAGCGAGGTCAGGGTCTTGCAATGTTGAAGAGGTTGCACCTCCAACACGGTTTCACCTTACAAAGAGAAGAAAAACCGTCCTTTGCGGAACCACACTGGTTTTCTTCTCTGCCTTTGCATCCTGACAGATTTGACCTGATTTTCGCGCCGCAGCTGTTTGACTGTTTGACCAGAATCCGTTACGAGCATGGATACCAACACAGCACGCCAGCTGCTCCAAGACTTCGAACTCATCCTTGGCATTGCCCAACAAGGCATCGCCACCATCCGCGAGTTCCCTGAGAGTCCGCCTGCCGAACCTGATTTGGCACCGGAGGCCACGTTCAACCCCGCCATTGAGGACCTGACCAACTCACCACCAACACCCCTCCTGGCCCCCCTCGAGGACCTCTTTGAGCCACCTCCTGATGCTCCAGATGAACACCTTCCCACTGATCATGACGAACAATTCCCTGATCATTGGGCTCCGCCCACCCCTCCTCCGTCTTCTCCCGGCGAAAAACGAGCTCGCCGCGCACGTGATTTGGCCTCCTCACGATCTACGGCATCCAAAACCTGCTCGTGGACCAAGCGAAGCTACCACATCGACCAGGACTGATGCCTCTACTGAGGCCGAACCTGAAGCCTCGCAGCCTTGGACTGAGGGAGAGATTGAACTCCTCCGTTCCCTTAAGACCAATTCCAAAGCCAAGTATGTGTGGTCAGTCATCGCCACAAGACTTTCTCGCACAATTGATGCTTGCAAGACTCAATGGGCCTTGCACAAGTGATGTCGCCCCAGTTGGGGCTCCGTGTGTGTGAAGCGTCCTGGAGCACGGACGGAAATTCCACATTGCAGGGGGACTGGAGCCGATTTGCCTATCCAGTCCAATGAAGCTACGGCATTTCGGTGGATACCGGATCTGATCAATCCGGCGTACCTGCCTATTTCCTGACCCTCTTTCCTGATTCTTTTTGCGGTTTCTGTTTGTCGCTGTTGCTTCCTGTTCGGTGTCGATGTTGTGACCTGTTGATTTGCATTTGCATTCAAGCATTTTTACTGACTGCGTTTTGCATCTCGGCTAGTGAAGCCTCTCGAGATAAGTGTGTGTTTGTGTCTGTTTGTGTGTGTGTTTGTGTGTGTTTTTGTGTTTGTGTATGTGTTTGTGTGTGTGTGTGTGTGCGTGTGTGTGTTTGTGTTTGTGTTTGTGTTTGTGTTTGTGTCTGTTTGTGTGTGTTTGTGTGTGTGTGTGTTTGTGTGTGTGTGTGTGTTTGTGTTTGTGTTTGTGTTTGTGTTTGTGTTTGTGTTTGTGTTTGTGTTTGTGTGTGTGTTTGTTTGTTTGTTTGTTTGTTTGTTTGTTTGTTTGTTTGTGTGTGTTCGTGTGTGTTTGTGTGTGTGTGTTTGTGTGTGTGTGTGTGTGTTTTTGTGTGTGTGTGTGTGTTTGTTTGTGTGTGTGTGTGTGTGTTTGTTTGTGTGTGTGGCTGTGTGTCTGTGTTTGTCTGTCTGTGTGTGTGTGTACCTACTTACCTGTTGAACACCAAATGTTTTTTTCATTCTTCGAGGTTGTACCTCGAACTAAGGGATTTTTAGGGAACCATGAACAATACAGAATAGCAGACACTTTTCCGCTCGGATTCTGTTACCACCATGAAATCAACGCGGGTTAGCATAACCGCCATTGGCTTCCCAAACCAAGTTTCATTATCAACATGGGATCAATCATTCGTTGAATGGGAGGAAGTCGTGCAGGGGCAGATTGGCTGGCAAACCCACACAATTTCCCAACTGGGTGGAACTCTAGGTTGGCTGCTTGACTGCTCTTGGGTTGGATCTTTAGACTTTAACTTTTCGGGGAATCAAGGGTTTTTCACTAAACCCCCAAATCTTACACTTTTAGCAGATAGGTCACCAGCAAGCAAGGCTGGTGGTTGTTGTTTTTCCCAGATGTCGCAGGGGTCCCGCAGCAACGAGTTCATTGACGCCGGGATCGGCTTCGCCAAGCGCCTGCGCGGAAGCCCGATGCGGGGACTTCTCTCCCTTTTCGGATGTAGGAAGAAGAAGAAGCCGAAGTCCGTTGCGAAGGGGTCCGAATTTGTAGTTAATTACCTGATTACCTAGATAGCCAAGTTGTTTTTTTCAGTCACTGCTGGTTTTTGGATGGTAAAGTGGATGGAACAAAGCGATCGCAACTGGATCGATCCAGGTAGATGCATGTTTGTAGGTTGCAGGTGCTCCATCCCTCTTGGGTATGATTTCTGTCCGAACCGAAAAAAAAAAGAGGGTTGTGTCCGGAAGAAGCTACAAAAAGAGAGAGAGAGAGAGATGGTTAGTTTATCCCAATGGCCGACAAGTTCCCATTGGGGAACGCATTTTCTGGATGGGTAAGCCGAGGTTGAAGCATTTTTAGGGCCAAGATAAATCGAGCTTGCTTTAAGTGGTGTGATGTTTGAAGAAGCCATGGGCAACCCCGACTCAGGAATTGTTCGGGGGAGCCAGAAAGGACCCCGGCCGCCGGTCCCCTCCCAAAAAGACAGCCGTGCAGCACGGAGGCGTCGAAATCTGAGGATGAGCCACCCGGAGTGTCTCTCCGAGTTTGACACCAAAGGCGAGCTACAATGCCGATGTGCCGGGCCCCACAGAGTGCACGGGAATGGGCGGGAATCGGCTGAAGCTAGAGCTTGGTCTGTGTGCGCTTTGTGATGTGTTCGCGATTTGTTACTAATGTGTGATTCTTGTGTTTGCCGTCCGCTGCTGTTGGTTTCTTTGTGGCCAGCGGGCACACTGAGGGTTTTGGGCGAGAATTCAGCAGAAACAAAAGAGTATCCAGTCCTCCAGTGACCTTCTTCCTTGCGTTTTTGGCGCGGAGCTCCCTTTGAAGTCAATCAAAGAGTCGGGCCCAGAGGTCTGACCGAAGCCGTTGGGCCACGCCGCGTTCTAACCCAACTCGGCGATGGCACTTGATTTTCTCAGAGAGCTTGCCTCACTCTCGCGGAGAACAGGCGTTGGTCTTTGCTGGCGCTCGGTAGGAAATATACCTTCCGGGTTTTGGGAATGAACCGTTTCGGGATTCCCTCAAAGGAAGCCAACTCGGTTGGATGGTTTGTTTTCGGGGGGTCATTCCATTTCTGATTTCCTGCCTATCGAACCCGTTTTGGCCAGTGGTGTATTTCGCCGTGTTTTCCCACCCAACAGTCGCACGGTACTCCGCGCCCCCCGCCATGCGCCGCCCCTTCTTCGAGCACGAAGCGTCCGAGGTGCCGCTCTACGGAAAGGTGGCCACCCTAAAGCTCAAGAACGCCGGGAAGATGGAGGAGGCGCGTGTCCCCAGCCAGCCATCAGCGACTTTGTGAAGGTCTTGCCATTCGGGTGTGTCTCTTTTGCAGGGTCCCTCCTCTTTTTTGTGGTGTTAAAGGGACACCAACAAGAAAACACCCATTTTGGGGGTTCTGTCCCTCCCAAATTCGCTTTTACGTTTCAATACGGAAGCCACCAGTTTATTTTAGGCAACGTTTGAAGGGCAAATTCTAGTGATTCACAAGGCAACTTGTTGGGTTTTCTCTTCTTTTTTTTTTGGGGGGGGGGAAGGTTCTAATAAATATCGGGCTTTCCCTATTTCCCTTTTCCCTTTTCGGAGAGTGCGAAGCCCTTCAGGCAAACATAAAGATGCGTTTCGGCGTTTTGGAATCCCATGGATATCCACGGTTCTGGGGTGAGTTCCACCGCCTTACCCTGTGCCTTCTGTCTAAACTTCGGAATGCGGAGCAGATAAGATCAAAGTTCCATCCACTAAACAAAAAAGCACTCGCAGATGTTGACACCGTATGTGACTCGCATGCGTTTCGACCGTCCTGCACCCGCTGAGTCCGCAATCAAATCGCTTCTTTGTGGATGCTAACGCAGCTTTCCTATTTTGAATCCTGGGACTAGACAGTCACTCTAGAGTGAGAGGATTGACATTCAATATTCACCTGTTCAGAATCTCAAATTCGTGGCATTTTCCAGCAACTTATGATTGACCGTGGTCCATGGTCCACAACTACTTGAATGTAGTGCGGACCAGCAAATACCTATCTATAATGCGTGTGCATCTAGTAGGCAACCATGCAGGTATTTTTGCCGCCAAATTATGCATGCTTCCCCTTACTTGGTGTGGCTGGAAGCACTGACACCTGCACGCGTTTTTTGGTGGATTGGATTAGACCACCCCCTAACCTCCAAACCCTTTGCAGTCGAAACCCAAAAGGAATACCACCATTTGTTGGGGGTGTACCTGGTTTGTCAGATACCGCAATGGCTATGAATTCAATAATAACAAGAACAAAAGTAACCCCTCAGAAGTGGTTGGTGCAAATGA